TTTCCCTAATACTCTTCCTATTCCGTTTGTAAAATACATGTTGTTATTATATTATTACTATATTTTTATTATATTCTATTATTAATTACCTCCCAAATATTTGAACTTGCAATGTTTTTATAGTATATTTTACTACTTTTATAGCTTTATTCACTATTTTTATAATTTAATAATGATTCATATACTAATATATTTTTAGTTTAATATGGTTCATTGAATAGTTAAAAATTTTTTTTATTTATTTCGTTGCGATAAAAATTGTTTTGTCGCATTGTCAAAAAGTGAAATGAAAATGAGAAAATTGCAATTATTTCCAATAGCGCATAAGCCACTCAACAACATAAGAAACATCTGAACTTGCACCAAGTGTTTTCAACTTCTCAGAATCACCAAATCCAACATCTTTTGGAATAACAACGTCAACACGACAAACCTGATCCCCAAGATACAACCGAAGACTTTTTTCTGAAAATTCACGCTCGAAGTTATTTCTATTTTCTATAAATAATAATTATTGTATAGTTTGAGTATAATATATTATAGTATTTTATAGTAACTATTTTTAAAAGAAAAAAATGCACAACACACTCGAGAGAGTTGGTGGATGTCGATGATATGGGGGACCCACTTCAGTGCACCTGCTTTTCCATAACTTTCCATGTCGAAGTACCGAGGCTCGAAGTCTCCATCAGTGATGTTGAGGCAGAAAATGGTATCAAGACTGATACCGCATCCAACAAGACGTGGGAGACAAAGGGCGACTGGGTTGTTTTCTATTAGCATCCCACTTAAGTATCCCTGGTACTCGGTGAAGTACCCTGGAACTGCACAGGCTCTCATACAGATATCGACACAGGACATATTCTCAAATTCGGTTTGACCATTCTCGGAGTAGTTTGTCATCAATTTGGCGTGGTGCGTTCTCTCCCCACTGCGGTCTGTTTCATGTGTGTCTGCTTGCAACGCGTCTATCGCAACATACCTTTGAAGATCCCCAATTTTCGAAGTACCAAAAAGTCGCTGCAACACTATATGTAACACTTTGTTGGAGTACATCGCACCAGTCACCCCTCCTAAGACTCCCGTCCTGAGTGGATATTCTTTAGTAATAATAGTTAGAACTTTCTTTGTTATATCAATGGAATAGCCATATGCTAACATCACCGCTATAATACTTGAAAGCTGCGTTCCACTATACACTCGTACCTTTTCAAGGACGTCTGGAACTTTTTGTTGGACGTTTCTTAACACTTCAAGTTGAAGAAGGGAGGATGTGTGACTCCCACAAAACCCAAGTAAATTCCACGTTGGTGGTAGTGGGCAGTAGTTGTGAATTTTTGTGTCATGTAATAGTGCGTCAACATCGGACAAAACACTTGAAATTTTGAACCGGTCATCGTCATTCCACACTGCGTACAGTCTATTTGTAATAATAGTAATAATAATTAAGTTAAAAAGTACAAAAGAACAAACTTTTGGTAGACACTCCGAGTGTCTTCTTGGCTCATTACTATTCTACTATTTATAGTTCATTTCAACTTATTAATTATCTAGTAAATAAATAGTATTAAAAATTATTAAATTATAGTATAGAAATATCAACTATTATATAGTTAAATACTAATAATAAATAGTATAGTTTCAACACCATCAAATTTAGGTGTTTAAAATATTTATCAACACGTTTAACTTGTTAAGGTTTTCAAAATGTTTGTTGAATAAAAATGTCTTGGCTATAGTTAATGTGCTACATGATAGAACGAAGCACAAGTTTCAAAATAAACCAAATCATATTTTTAATCAGAAAAATTATGGAATTAACAAATGGTATGACTGTGTTAATAACTTTTAATTTTTTTAAATCAAATAAAAAGTTTGATAAAGAGTCAATTTATTAAATAGCACAACGTTGTGAGTGCTCAAAATAATACTTTTGCATTCTTGAGTATTTTTTCGACTTGTAAAATTGTCAACTAAAAAAACACAAATTTGTCAATTGTAATTTTTTAGACTTATTCAAAACTCTATGTGTTATGTTTGTTCATGTAACATCTTAAGTCTTTTAACCATTTATAAAATACTTGTGCCGTTGACTTGTACTATTTCTTCGAGTTTACAATAGAATGGTGTTTTCTTGTTGTCAAAGTTTTCACATACACGACATTCAACAGTGTATGAATTGCTATCATGACTTACCTCTAGTTATGATTCTGATAATTTAAATTAATACA